AGCAGAGATAAGTCAGCTTGATTCACCCACAGGTATTCAAGGGCTCACTCCCGAGGGGCACCCTGTAACTCTAGGAGGGATTTTGCCTACTTATCTGCCCCCGAGCACAAGTCCAATGACCATAGACGAGGAACTAGATCCAAAGAGACAGTCCACTGTGAATGATGGCAAATGCTCTAAAATAGGTTTCAGTTTTCAAATACGAATTGTGACACGTCAGTGGACTGTGAAATCAGTGTAGTGGGTCATGACCAGCATTTGTATCTGAAACAAAGAGAATATATTCAGATAGAAAGAAAAACATTATGGCCGTCATCGAGATACATTTGGCTCTTTGAAACTGGATTCACTGCGTGCGTGCGTGTTTGTGTATTAAATGTATGTCACTGTGGTTCAAGGCCAGGGACGCGTGAAAGCTGTGTTCCAAGAGAGATGTGAAGCTGTAGAGGGGGAACTTCGAGGGGAAAAAGGAAAGGATTGCTTCCGAGCTAGAATGCTGGGGAGGGCATTTGTCCAGGGGCTAAGAGCAGGGAGGGGTTTGTCCCAGCGGTGAGTAAGAGCAGGGAGGGTGCTTCAAAGGCGAGGTCGGCCCCAAGCTGGGGCTGCCAGCCCATGAGTGCAGGCCTCGCTGCCTGCACAGTGCCTCACGGTGGTCAGAAAAGTTAGGCCGGGGCCTGGGTGTCGAGGGTCTTGAATGTCATGCGGAGAAAGCTGGACTCGATTCTCAAGAGCAGTAAGGGCTGTTGATAGCCTTTTGGTGGGACTCAACTTGGTCCAGAGAGTGAGGAGAAGCAGGGAGGTAGCGGAGGAAGCTGTTTCATTGCTTGTGCAAGTGAGGGGGTTAGAGGGCAGAGGGGGGCAGCAGGGGTGGATTCCAGAAATGGGGAAGGAGGAGACAGCAGTTGTGCAACTTGGGGCCCCGGGGCATTGGCGCAGGGGACGGGAGAGGTCTCCGATTTGCAGCGTCTCCATCCTGACACGTCTGCAGGCCCGTCCCATGGTCAGTGGGACCATGAGACGTCATGCTTGGGAAATGAGTATTCTGAGGCCCCGTCCTCAGAGAACCCCACCCTGAGGGTCAGAGAGACCAGACTCTACCACCTGGACCGCTCAGAGCTGGTTGTGAGGCCAGGGTTGGAGTGTGGGGCTCAGTCAGGTCTAAGGGATGCTCAGGAGAGAGGGGAGAAAACCATGGCAAGGGAGCAATCAAGGATGCCTTCCTTGACGAAGGGGCTAGTGCCAAAGTTCAGGCATGCAATGTAACAGTCAACAAATGCATGGCCAAAAGTATATCCTTTTTGCCTTTCGAACCACAGTGGGGATCAGAGTCTGTCTCCCCTTACATAGACCTGTTCAGAGGGTCTCTAAACCCCCCATTACGAAGGGGTCATTCATTTCACAAAAGGACTCACCCGCCCCCTAAGATACCTTTACTTTTTTAGGCCAGTGACCTCTCTGACCCCCACATGTTCAGGGGGCCTCCCTTTCAGGAGCATGAAGGTCGGTGAGGATAGATGGTCCCAAGCATCAAATTCTCAAAGCCCACCTTGGGAACGGGTGCCAGAGGCAGGGTTGAGGGGCAGATCATCTCTCCATGGGGCTCTGCCTCCGCTCCAGACCAGACCAGTCCCCTGACTGACTCATGATGTGTGGGACATGGACCCTGCCCGAGATGGGCCTCAGGCTGCCTGGGAGGCAGGAATAGGCCAGTAACAACCCTGAGTTTGAAAAATCGATGAGCTTCAAGCACCAAATTATAAAACAATTAAGCTAATAGAATCTCCCTCATTGTTTCTGCTCTTCGGCAAGTGCTCCTTAATAATTCTATTGCTTTTAACTCACTGTCGGCACAACGGAAGTGGATTTTTAAGTAACTTAATTATTTCAGAGCTCACTGCTTCCAAAAACAATCCACGGTCCCCCCTCCAGCTCTGTGACTCTGTGCCCAGTGAGCTATTTATTTTAATTAGTTTGCTATTGTAGATATGAGAGGCCAAAAAGGAAAATTCACAAACAACTGCCCATTAGCGCCGGAGCAGAACTCTGGTACAAATCACCCCAAACAATGGATCATTCAGAATTTGTAATCAAGTGGGGGAGGCATTACATGCTAATGATGCCAAGCAGAACTCAGGTGGGCAAGCGGGCTTTGGGCAGTCTCGGGTGGGAGAGCTTCCTGTTGGTTGGAGGTTGAGGGTGGGCTGCCTGGAGGGGGTGGTTTAGGAACTAGACCTTGAGTCAGAGCCAGGCTTGAGAGAGAGGCGAATTTTTTCACCTTCATCTATTCCCCTTTGACAAATCTGCATATTTGTACCATACGGGTGCTCAGGAATGTCTTCTCACACATCACGTTCAAGTGCATACACAGGCTGGTTCTCAAACACTTGGCGAAATCACACGTGGTCTTCCAGGCCACCAGCTCAAGGACAGCAGCACAGCCCCTCTGTACCCAAATCCCCTTATTCCTCATTAACACTACTCAGTAGCCTAAAGGTTGAAAACAGAAGCCAGACTTTCTAGGCTTGAGTCCTCTTGGCCTCCTTGTGTCCTTGACAAGTAGCTAACTCTCCTTGTCCTCAGATCCCTCCTCTGTAAAACAGGTTAATTATAGTTCCTACTCCATAGGTTGTCGTGAGCCTTGAATGGCCACCAGTAGTGTAAAATAGCAAGAGGAGGCAGAGGATGGGGTAAGCTGACCTGTGTACGTGGTCGCTGTCGTGGAAGTGCAAGTGTGGCCTTCCATTGACAAGAAATGTGGCTCCCACACATGGAGAGTGATGAGATAAGGACAAACATTGTTGGCTTGCCGAAAGCAGCGACTTCAGCTATTAGCAGGTTCTCATCCTTGGGTTCAGTTTTGAAGCAAAGGAACAAAACAAAAGCAGTGCACAAGATCTAGTGAAAGATTGGGTCTAGCGTGGGCTTCAGGGTCGGTGCGGTGTGGTGGTAACGCCCCACTCTGTGGGGCTGACTCCCAGGGGGAGGTGTCAGGTCCACAGCAGAGAACTCCCTGGTGCTCTGGGAGCGTGTGTGATCTGGGACTGCCTGAGGCTAGGAGTCCACAGTGGGATGAAGACCCTGTTGAGAGTCTCTCTCTCGGGAGAAAGAAGAAAGGTATGTTCACTTTCCAGAGAGAGAGAGAAAGTGAGAAATCACCCCCCGGGGGATGGCCATGCTGTAATCCCTTCTCCTTCATTTTCCTCTCAGAATTTAAGACATGCACACATTTGCACCAGGCATGTTTTTCAAGCCACCAGGTCTGAGACTCAAACCATGCTGTAGCCCATGTGGGATCCAGTGCCTTCACCTCCACGCTACCTGACTGGCCCAGGAAATAGATTGTAAAATGGGTTTTAGCGTGTCTTTTAGCTACTGTGTAAGATTTCGTGTAGATGACTTTCACAGAAACTTCTAGAGACAGGCTGTGTTTCCTGGCCCAGGGGAGCTGAGGAGCACAGACTTTACTCTGTGAGCACCAGGGGTCCAGGGGAGGTCCTTGAGGAGAGGAGTGACCTGTCTCTTGGTGGGTGGCATCTTTCGTAGGGAACGCCTACCGAGAATGCTTGGAGAATGGGACCTGGGCATCGAGGATCAACTACTCCCAGTGTGAGCCCATTTTGGATGACAAGGTGAGTGGCCCCCACTGTCCTGACCCCGGTCCTCATGCAGATTTTAGACTCAGGTTGAGAGCAGAGGATCCCAGGTGTAGCAGAACCAATCTTTGTGTCGCCTAGCCTTTCTTTCGTTGTGGGGGGTAGGGGGTTGTCATAGGGCATGTGTGCTCACTGGAGAGAGACAGAGAGAAGGAAAGTGAGAAAGTGAGAAAACCAGAAAAGCCCAGGATAGCTGGCCACACTGCAGTACCTTCTCCTCCATTCTCCTCTTGGGACCAGTCACTCCTTTTAGCACCTCTTACTTCTGCCCCAGTGTCCTGCCCTGTGTCCAGTGACACGTGTCGGGTAGAGAAGGAGGACATGGAGTCCTACCCTTAGGCGAGCTTGGGCTGGAGGAGGACATAGCCCAAGCGTCATATGATCAGAAAGGGGAATGACCATGTTACAGCTAGTAATCTGGGAATGAACACCTTCCTCCTTCTCTGGGCCTCAGTTTCCCCGTGTGGCATTCTAGCTCTGCAGCTCCACATGGGAACAAGTGCAACCCACAAGAGCAGACCCCACGGGAAGCTGGACCCTGCTCAGACCCCTCCAGCTCTCCTCTTTGGCGCATAGCTCATTCCTAACCCAAAATGATGTGGCCTGGCTCAAGCCTCCTCTTCACTAGTCCTCAGCTAAATCCCGAGTTCAGAGGGAAAAGCAGTTGTCTACCCTGAGAAAGTGATTCTGCAAAATATGAGCTAAGGGGTTCTGCAGCCAGAGCCACCGAAGGGCAGTCAGGACAGTCAGAAAGTTTGCAGAGAAGGAGGCTCCCTCCAGCGCTCCGCTCTGACCCCTCCATTCTTACAGCCCCGCCAGCAGTGGCAAAGTGAATGTGGGTGGTGGGTGAGGGTGGGCGAGGGTGGGCGAGGGTGGGCCCCACCCCACCCTTGCAGGACGGAGCATGTCATCGCCAACTCTGTTTAGAATTGTGAGGACACAATGAGGATGAAAATCAGCCGGCTGTCATTCAGTGTGAATAGTATGCATACGTTCTCTGCAGACAGGGCCCCTCCTCGTTGCTGTACCAGGGTAGGTCTATCTCCATGCACTCCCAGACCTTCCAGAAGCTTCTGCCTCTGGGGCAGGAGGACAGGTTGGCCCAGTGGCAAAGTGAATGTGGGTGGTGGGTGAGGGTGGGCGAGGGTGGGCCCCACCCCACCCTTGCAGGACGGAGCATGTCATCGCCAACTCTGTTTAGAATTGTGAGGACACAATGAGGATGAAAATCAGCCGGCTGTCATTCAGTGTGAATAGTATGCATACGTTCTCTGCAGACAGGGCCCCTCCTCGTTGCTGTACCAGGGTAGGTCTATCTCCATGCACTCCCAGACCTTCCAGAAGCTTCTGCCTCTGGGGCAGGAGGACAGGTTGGCCCCATTGTTTAGATGTCAAAACTGAGACCTAGAGTAGAAGTCAGTTCTCCCTCGGGCGTTCAGCCAGCTGGGATCCGAGCTGAGAGAAACCCAGATGTAGCACTGTAGTCTAAAACTTTTTTGAAAGTCCATATAGCTTTGGTATATCTCAGGATCAACCGTGACCACATGTGCCCCCAAGAATGCAAGTGAGAAGCCCAACCACCCTGTCTTTAATACCAGGAGCACCTGGACCCACAGGTGTGAGCGCGAGGACCCAGGCATGGCGGTCACACTGGAACCACTTCTGCCCCCAGGGTCAGAACACAGAGTCATGGCTGGGGTGCCTGGGCCTCTGTCTGCTGTGCCTATCTGTCTGTCTGTCTGTCCAACAGAGGAAGTACGACCTGCACTACCGCATAGCCCTTGTTGTCAACTACCTGGGCCACTGCGTTTCCATGGCAGCCTTGGTGGCTGCCTTCTTGCTTTTCTTGGCCCTGCGGTGAGTCTGCCCTCCCGCCCTGCTTTCTCCTCACCCCTCCTCCCATAGCACCCCTGCCCCTCTCCCAGAGCTTCTCACCCCCACATGCGGCTGAGAACCAGAGGACAAAGAGGGTTAACCGGGTGCCAGGCACTGACCACAGGCATGTGGCATGTGGGGTGCCAAGGGAGGGCTGGGCTCCGAGAGGTGGGAATTTGGCTCCTGGTGCAGCCCAGTCCTTACACAAGGCCTCAGGAGGAGCCTAGTCCCAGGGGGAGCCCAGTCCCAGCTGACCCTTGACCCCAGCTGACTGCTGACCGGGGCTTCCCATAGGAGCATCCGCTGTCTGCGGAACGTGATTCACTGGAACCTCATCACCACCTTTATCCTGCGAAATGTCACGTGGTTCCTGCTGCAGCTCATCGACCACGAAGTACACGAGAGCAACGAGGTCATTGCAGGGGACACTCGGGGCTGGGCCCGGGGGCCGTGGGCTCTGGGGCTTGCCCGCCTCTCTGTCCAACACAGGTGCAAAAGCAGACCTGAGCTCACCTCCCTCCAGTCATCGTCCCACCAGAGCCAGCCGGCAGGGGCGGCAGGCTGCCAGGCCGGATCTTGGGAGCCATGCAAAGCTGACGCTGGTCTGGTGTGTCCTACTCCACCCCCAACTTGCACATTCAGATTCTACCAAAGACTCCTTGGTGGAAAGGGGTTGGAACTAAAGTCTGTTGGTCTTTGGTTCATTTAATCCCAACATGAGACCGGGAGGGATGATTTTCCTATAGACAAGGAAACACTCAGAGAGGTGCGGCGACTCGCGGGTCGTGCGCTGTACTGAGGCCCCTCCGTCACGGGCCATCCTGCATGCTCGCTGTGCTCCCTGGATCTGTGTCACTGCACCCAGGTCATTGCAGACTGTATCAGAGCCCTGTGGCACACCATCAGAGACTTCCCACTTCATGTTCATGGCCACCCTGTGTCTGTGCCCGGTTTGACCTGATTGGTCCCACCGTGAGCTGCACTGTGGGGCCGTCCAGCTCCTGCATTGCCTTGAACTACTAAGACACATTTAACTTGGACAAAAAGCAGGGTTAGGAGCAGGGGCTCTTGAGCTTCCCATTCACCAAGACTTTCTCAGAACCAAGGAGACAGACAGCTGCCGGGAGCCCCAGATCAGGGATGGGACTGGAGGAAAGCCCACAGCAGCCAGCAGCCCCGCCTGGGTGGGTGGTGGAGACAGGGCTGTCCACAGGCTGAGAGCCCCAGCATCCACTCTGAGAGCCGCCCCTCCATTCCCCACATCCCAACCTCGGCTCTGAGAGGCCCTAGGGGCGAACCCATAGGAAAGAGGTCAGAGGAGGCCTATTGAGAAGAACGTGGCTTGGAGGCCCTGCATGGTCCACTTTGTCCTCTCCCGTCATCCCACACAAGGTGTGCAGGAGGGTGGCCTTGTTCAAATGGACAGTGACAAGTCCCCCCCCCCTGCTGGGAAGGCCGATACAGCAACCACAGCCACGGCACCACACGCAGGTCATGGCACCTGCCCTGTAAGCGTCTGCAAGGTGGCGTTCATTTCAGGGAGGTTTGGAGTGGCGAGGCAACTAGCCAGAGTCTCCCCCAGAGCCCGGGGGGACAGGGTCACAGCTAGGCCAGAACTGCCTGAGCCCAGTCTGGAAAACCACCTGCTTTCCACCCTCACATACCTTTGACTCACTACACTCGCCTTGTTTTGTTTTTTTTTTTCCATTTTTCTAGATGAAATTTTATATTTCATCACTAAATGTTAATTAGTCTGACTTGCTTTGGTTGAAGGCAGCAAAAAAAAAAAAAAAAGTGAAAAAGCCAATAGGTGGTGAGGTAGTTAAGGTGCTGGACTCCCACATGGCCAACCACAATTTGAGTCCCGGACCTGGCAGCTTGAAAATCACACCAGATGTGTGTGCATGCCCCAAATCCCACCCCCTTGGGGGTGATTTTTTCACTTTCCCTCGGTCTCTCTCTGACGAGCACACGCACCCAATGGCAAAAGTCTAAGAAAATAAAGTAACAGTGAAAACACGGCACTGTGGTTGACTTCCCAGCCCCTGCCTGTAGAAAGCTCAGTGACAGACTGGCTGTTTCTCCACTGAAAAAAGAAATAGGGTGGTGTGTGGCAGCTGGACTCCACATGGACAATGGTGTGGTTCGAGTCTCAGGCCCGGCTGTTTGAAAAATTGCATCAGCATCATGCCCAGAATCCCAAGAGAATGGAGAAGGGATTGCGGCATGGCCATGTGACCATCCTCCCTGAGGGCTGCTTTCTCTCTCTCTCTCTTTCTCTCTCTCTGTCTCTCTTTGACAAGCACACTCACCCTCTAGCAAAAATTGTTTTAAAAAGAAAGTTGTAGAGAAGCTAAAACCACACTGACCAATAGGGAGTGGCCCATTAATATGATCTGAACGAGGGGAGGAGCAGTGGTGGAGGATGAACCCTCTCCAAGTGAGACCAGTGGTTTTGACGCTGTGGCCATGAGTCTCTGGGAAGCCCTAGGCCTCCCTGCCCTACAGGGATGAGGTCGGCCTGGCCCAGGCCCCCACAGCCCCGCCAGCCCCTGATGGTCCTGTCCCCACACAGGTCTGGTGCCGCTGCATCACCACCATCTTTAACTATTTCGTGGTGACCAACTTCTTCTGGATGTTCGTGGAGGGCTGCTACCTGCACACGGCCATCGTCATGACCTACTCCACTGAGCGCCTACGCAAGTGGCTCTTCATCTTCATCGGCTGGTGTGAGGGTCCCAGGGGAACAGGGCCCAGTGTGTGTGCGTAGGGGAAAGGGGGTAGGCTTCTGACAAGACCATCTTCCTTCCTCTTGGTACAAGGCTCAGCCCACAGCCCTTGCTCCTGGCTGGGGAGGGAGAGGCACGGAATCCCTCCATTCCTCCAACAGCCCTCCTCCGCTGTCCAGGGTGATGGCCAGCCCAAAGACTTATGTTTCTGGCCTTGAAAGAGAAACTGGGACTGGCTCTTCTCTGTCACCAAGTTTCAGAAAATCATGCCATCCCCTAAGAGAACCGGGGGTTGGGAATAAGGAAGTTGGGGGCAGGGGTGCAGAGACAGGCAGCCCTGAGGCCCACAGCTGGAAGAGTAGAAGCACGATCCCAGGACTGTGGTCCCCTTGTCTTGTATTCTACAAGAGGATCCCTGTCCATCTGTCCACTGCAGCCCATGTCTGTCCTTTCAGGCGTCCCCTGCCCCATCATCATCGCCTGGGCCATTGGCAAACTCTACTATGAGAATAAACAGTAAGTGGGACAGGCCAGCCACGGGGGTTGTGGGGTGGGGGTATTTAGGACAGGTCAGCCTTGGGCTCTGGCCAAGCCAGGACACAGGAGTCGTGGCCATGCCTAGACAGAGTCACAGTGCTGTTGCCTTTAAATTGAAAGCAATGTCCCTGCACCCAGTGGTAGTCACTAATTAGGTGTGAAGACAGCTTTGTTGGGTTCAGCCAGGAACTGAGGCTCCTCTAGCACCCCACATTCCTGACCTCTCTGGCCTTTGAAGGGTTGGATGTGGCAGGTCTGGCCTAGGGTGTCTGGAAGGAGCCCAGGTTTCAGGGCTTGTGTCCATGAGCATTCAATTGAGTCGGGTCAGGGCTCATTTTTCTCACGTCACAGTCTTTGCCTGGGCGTAGCAGCGACCACGGGAGCCCTCCCTGTCCCAGAGATTCCGACAGACTGTGCCACGGCCCAGCCAAGGAGAGCCAGGAAGAAGGGACTGGGGGACAGTGGTCTCTGCAGGCACATCTCCAAGGGGTCTCAGAGGCTGGAGAGAGCAGGCGGGATTCAGTGGGGGGGATCCTAGCAGCCTAAGGCTAGGAAGAGCTCCAGTGGGTAAAAGCCGCCCAAGAGTAAGAGGGTTGCCTTGGTAGGCAGCGAGCCTCCTGTCAGAGTGGGTGTTCAGGCTGAGCCCGGAACTCTGGGAGCAGGGGAGAGCTCTGTCTGAGACAGGTGAGCACTGAATGGCCTCGTAGGTTCCAGAGGACAGTTTTCCCAACATTGATAGTCTTTCC